TTGATTTTGTCCCGAGATCGAGATCGCGAGTCGATATAATCGTCAAAATCTCCGCATAGAAAAATCGTAGCAAGATGATCTTGGCCCCGTTGGAAAGCTAAGATTTCAGCGCTTCTAACGAGATAAGAATGGCTTATCTCGGATCATTAGTTTATTATTATTGATAAATTACGAGAAAATTGATTTTGTCCCAAGATATGAGATTGTGAAGTAATCTTTCGATTGGATGAATCTCTCTCACGTCGCGTATTACAAACATAATTTATGTTTACTCAATATTAATTTTTCTAAATATACATATATGTAATTGCACGGTTTTTTGTTGATAATCCCCTCCTCGGGTACTACCTTGTCGTGGTGGAAGGGCTTGAGTACCCCGAAGAGTTACTCTCTAAAAATCAATCAGTGCATTATCACCGAATCAGTGAATATTCACTGTTTTCAGTGATAATCCATTGATTGATTTTAGAGAGTACATACTCTAAAGACGGGACAACCAAAGGTACCCATTGCGCTATTTAGGCCCGATTTTTAAAATTAACGAAGTTAAGTTAGAGTTGCCAAAAAGAAGTAACTGTAACTTTGTTACAAGTACAAGTAACGAGTTACTCGTACTCTTCCCAACCCTGCAATTAACATAACTCACATCGTGTATTTTCCTTTGAAACAAACAATTTTTGTCTAAAGCATTTTTCTCTACAATCAAAAATAAAGGTTTTGAGAATGTTAGATTAAAATAGGACACTCTGAATATTCCATTAGTGGATTCCGTTATGTCTGTTGGTATTCTATCAACATTTGTAGCAAACACTTTTAAAATCTGCTCTCAATAGACTTGGCTGTCCGGGAATCTATAATAATCAAATTCCAAGACTTACTGGACTTGCTTCGAAGATCAACGCACACATGAGTATGGCGTTTGTAAAAAGCATTCGTATGATTATTAAACCCCAGATATCACTCAACATGTGACTGCATTGCAATAATCGGTGATGCGTGTGTACGCATGTGCCCAGGGCCTCTGTGAATACCTCGCAGGTACGACGCCGATTCGCCAACCTGGCAGACATCGCCCGTAGTATCGAGGAGATCTGAAACGCGTAGTAGCCAAAGAGGCTGTCAACACTGCCAACGGTAAAGACTACACACCAGCAGCTGGATATCTGGTGTAGGAGATGCAGGTAAAAGAGTAGACCGCCGCCGGTTGACACAGGCCACGGAAACTTCGCCAGGAACGGTAGTTTATATCTTCTGGGTTTTGCGTCATAGACGATCTGGCGAACTATGGAGATCAGCGAAGGGCAAAGAATCATCAATGCCGTCGATCCCAGGGTAAAGCACAGCATGTAGGATGGTCTGTCAAACGCGCACAGGGTGGCGAGCATGGTTTGTCGATCCCGTGCCAGTTCTCTCTCGAAGAGATCATCTAGCGTCTCATGAAGCTCCAGCAATCTCTTACGTTTCACCAGGAAGCAAGCTGACTGGAAGAATAGTAGACATACGATCTGTTTCTCGCAATTGGTATCTAAGATTTTATTTAAGGAAATGGTCTTCTAAGCTTTCGATATTAAATAGCGGTGAAGACAAATTTTCACCACAATCTCGTTCGAGCAAGTTTTCACAGAGATTCTCAAATAAAGGTTTCCACAAATTGCTTTAATTTGTTAATACCAATCTACTAACTAAAATGCTAACTAACATTTTGCTGACTGGGCTTGTGCATCCGCTAGACATCCACTGAATAATTGAAATCTATCATGGGATATCGTTCAGATCGCAATATCCTAAAATAATGTCCCTCGGACATCCCGTGGATAAAGTGTGCTATGTGGATTATAGAGACTCAAATATATTCGAATCAATTTTGTTCAGATTCGAATGTATTTGAAAGTATTGCTTTTAATTTTTTAAGTAATCATAGAGTTCAAAACTACAACAGATTCGAACCTACTAAGATAATTAATCCCATGCATCACTAGTACAAGATACCATTAAGACGGGCGTGATGAAACTACAGGTCATGCCAAAACATCTTGAAAGAAGCACCAGGTCGTCTGTGTGATCCCAACAAAAGTTTATCATGAAGACGCACTGATTGAAGCACATAAAGATCACTAAGAGGCCTGTAGTATACGACCAGGCTGCCGAACGTGTTCGATCTTGCAAGACACCGCCGAGGCAAAGCATTCTGCGAATGCGACGAGTGTACACGCGATAGCGAAGCACTGTCGCGTCGACCTTCGCTTGTTCCGGATGATCGCTTGCCAGGATGTTCATGGATATAAGAAAAAATGGAGAGTTCTGTCGAGTGATAACGTGTAATATTGTTGAAAATTGCTGGCAAAGTAGACGAAAAAGTGTAGTGTTCCCCGAAACGGTTTAACATCTGCGTAAGGGATTTGATTCTACCCTTCTGGAACTCGGGAAGCTCGCTATTTACCAAATTGAGAGTCTGTGGGAGGAGGGCAAAATTACATGTTGCGGCACTACTTTGTTACTTTCATATTGGGGGATGAATCGATGACGCATCCAAAGCTTAAATTTCCAGAAAATGTTTTCCGTATTATTACCCTCCCTTATAAGTGATAAGCGAGTTGCGCTATAGTTGTAAAAGATTGATTGAGGCCGTTTTATCGGAAGTACGGTCTCGAGCATAGTTAAGTATACGTTGGTGCGAGCAACCCTTTGACACTGCAAAACGAGTACGCAGAAAACTGTTAGAAGGGAGAGTTCTGTACATTAAAGGAAAGAAAAATTCCGTTGATATATACTCGACATTAAAATATCGAGAAAATCGAAAAGTTGCATTACTTTGCAATAATTTCGGTACTTATACTTAAAAAAAAATTAAAATCTGTGAAATTTATATAATTCGTAGGTGGAATCGCGGTATTTGCCTCGTTTAGAATGTCTGTATATTTTTGTACTGAAGAAAGTATAAACAAACAAAAATATTCGAGGCATCTGTTAATAAATTTTTTTATTAAACTTAACAACACTGACTAATAATAAACTTTTAATAATTTTGAAATTAAAATATTATATACTACAATTTTAACTTAGGTCCTTTAAGATATAAAATCAAATTAGAAATTAAAGAGGCCGTTTAGGACCGGGCATAGATGTAAGTAGCCAGTTAAATTAAATTAATAAGTGAATCCATATACCGTATTCTTTCCATCTTATCCTGTGCGCCAGTTACATACCAGTCTTTTAACACAGGTCAATCCCCGTAAGTGGAAGTGTTGTCGTCAGTGAATTCACGTTTATAAATTATTATAAAATATTATACATAGTTTTTCGTTGTACTTATGATATTGCTAAGTTATGGAAGTATAAAAACTACAACCCGATACAAAATTTTTCACGTATGACCATAATATGCATAAATATGTATATGTATAATATTTTAGAGTTTATTCCTTACCTTCAAAGATATATGATTATTTAGGACTCTACGACCGGTATTCAAGACCGTCTTGAATTTATCTAAAGATGCTGTACGGAATATTTCATTGGCTACGGAGTATCTAAAGATGATCTTGAGACAGTCTTGAATATAAGATCTGACTATGGCCGGTATTCATAGTCGATTCTTATTTCAAAATCATCTTAAGTGTTGTCTTAAGAGGCTAATACGGTTCTGTGATTGGTTAAAAACACATTAAGAATATATGTAAGAAAATCTTAAATATAAGAACAGACTATAAATACTGGCCTATGTAAAATGAGTCCGAAGTTGCTCACTGTCGCCGCATGAGGTCTCCAATATCGATTTGGTGTTCGCCTGGTTCGCCCGTCACTTCTGTTGACTTTTTAACACAAGAAAAAGTTCGTGGTATGAAGGTGTTTATCTCTAAGTATTAAAAAAAAATTAATTTGCTGTATGAGGGGGGCAGAAAATTTAGATTAATGGAGAAGCTCAAGAGCTTAGAGAAGATTATATCACGTTAACAAATTCGATTAAGTTATTTTAATATATATTTGTCAACAATATAACCTCCTATTGGTAGATAAATTTAATTTGAGGGAAGACTGGAGTAAGTTTACTGTAATGCTTGGAATGTTACGCAAAACAGGAAAGATGATATGAAATTTGAACTTTCTCGGATCGTTAATACGCTAAATAACGCAGATATCGACGGCGTTCCTGTAGAGAGGAAAAGAACTAATTTAAGTTGCTAGCCTCTAACTGTCCTCTGTTCGTACAACTGAACTTTTATCCGTTCAATTGTCATATTTGTTGGCAAAATGGATATTCTAAAAGCAGAAATAATGAAGAAACGGAGAGAGCTAGAGGAAAGTCATGTCTTGGTACGTTGCATATTGCATTCTATGGTGTATTGTATTTCATATCGTTGCACGCATGTAAGTGTGCATTAATATCTATTATCTGTGTTAAAATATCTCTCAGGAAAGTAATAAGAAGTACTTTAAGAGGAGTCAATTGATATCAAAGCAGCAGGAAGTACATGAAACTGACAAAGGGAATAATGAGGCTGTCCCTTCAAATGTGAATCAGCAATCGGAAGAACACAAAGCGGACAGTAGCTCCGAACATTTGTTATCCAGGCAAGAAGTAATTAGGCGATTGCGCGAGCGGACAGAGCCCGTGTTGTTATTCGGCGAATCCGAAATAGAGGCATTCAAGAGATTAAGGAAGTGCGAAATCCTTGAGCCAGAAGTGAATAAGGTATGTATGGCTTACGGTTACTTCTGTAAAGAAAACGAAACAAATGGCAATTTTGATTGCAATAATTTATCAACAGGGATTCAGAAACGATTTCCAAGAAGCCATGGAGCAAGTGGATCAAGCGTATCTCAATGAGATCTTGACATCTTCCAAGTCCCAAAATCTTGACGGAAAGGGCGATGTGAATGTACCTGACGAGGGTGTCACTTATGAAGACATAGAAAAGATGTCGACTAAACTGAATAAGGGAGACAAGGACTTTGATATGAACGTTATTACACTGTTTGTGCAATATCTAGTCCAGATCTGGGGTAATCAATTAAACAGCCGATCGACCGCCGAAAAGATGAGCACTAAGGGAAAGATGAATAGCGCTACGTATGCTCAAACAAGAGAGTATTTAAAACCACTTCTAAGAAAATTGAAGAATAAGTCTCTTCCGGAGGATATAACGGACAGTTTAACAGAAATTGTTAAGCACTTGCTGGAGCGTAACTACATATTGGTACATTTTTAATTGCATATAAAACATATTTTATCAGTGTAACAAATCTGTAACAATGTATCTGCTACAATAGCAAATTCTTATTTCAGGCTAGCGATGCCTATTTGCAAATGGCAATAGGCAACTCACCGTGGCCTATTGGTGTTACTATGGTTGGTATCCATGCCCGTACTGGCAGAGAAAAGATTTTCTCTAAGAATGTTGCTCATGTCATGAACGATGAAACTCAGAGGAAGTACATTCAAGCACTCAAAAGATTGATGACTAAATGTCAAGAATATTACCCTACTGACCCATCGCGTTGTGTAGAGTACTCAAAAAATTAGATTTCTATGATAAAATATACGAAGCAAAGCACTGTTAATTTGTATGTAGATATAAACATCGTATTGTCATTATTAAAGATTCTCAACTGATTATTATAAACATTTTTTACAGAATAAGCTTATTTACCAATGCACACATTTTTTTATTAATAAGACGATATACAGTATATGTGTGTATATTTATTGTATATACTTTTTGTAACAAATGATAGAGAAGTTCGCGAAGATAAAGTTTGTTCTCGAGAAAAATGCAATTTCGAAAATGACATGGGGTGTGTTTCCATTTCTTCTCAGTACTACTGTGGACGCTATTATTGAACTCAGCTTCTGAGAAAATCATTCCCAAATGAAACCTCAGTAGCCTTCGTGATAACAGCAGTTTCTTTTCTAAATGCAACCATCCACACCTTTTCTTTGATATTGAACGCTCGAGACTATTGGGAGTACTGCCAGTAGTACCGAGAGGGAATGGGAACACACCCGTGAATTTATCACAAATTACATAATTATTCTACATATGTTACTCGATACAAATATAATCTCTCTTCTTCAAATATTACATGAATATAAAATGGAACTTAAATAAGCAGAAAGATAATATCAAACGTTTCTTAGAGTATTACTTGTTACATATTTCAAAATCTCTTTTGGCTAAAAAAGCTATTTTATGCGAGAAGTTAGTTCATTTGTTTTATTCACAGCAGCCTCGACAGCATTCATCATAGATCCCCTGTAATTATCAAGATTATTTAACAATTAAATGCACATAAAATGTCTAATGACTACATCACTTCTCGTGGGTTTAATTGAATAAAACATTTTCTATTCTCAGTAATTAGTGAGCAAAAGTGTATATACCAATAAGATGTGTAAAATAAAGCCAGCGGCACATGATACTATTTTTCCTACTGAATTTCTTGCACGAGCCAATAAGGATGCAGTTTTAGATCAGATGACTTAGGGCTAGATCTTGATTAACTCTCGCAAGCAATCCATTAGACAAAATAGTATCATGTGCCACTGTTTAACTTGTAAATACCTGACTCCTCCCACTTCCATAACATGAATGCCGTTAATAGTGGTGCCTCCAGGTGAGCAGACTTCATCCTTCAACTGACCAGGGTGTTGTCCAGTTTCAAGCACCATTTTCCCAGCCCCTACCAGCACTTGTGCTGCAAATTTCGTTGCCATTGGCCTTGGCACGCCCATTTTCACAGCTCCATCTGCTAATCCCTCTATGACAAGATACGCCTGAGTAAAGATAAATTCAAATATTAATACACAACTATTTCTTTCCATTTCTCCAATTATGACGGCTGTTATAACTTACGAACGCTGGGCCGCAACCTGATAGGCCACCAATGCAGTTCATTAGACTTTCTGGAACCTTGTGACTCATACCAATGTAAGAGAACAACCTATCCACCAGCTCTAGATCGTTCGGCTTGGCGTTCCTGCCGCAATAAACTAAAAATTACATTTACATTAATACAAACTAATTTATGCTATATTGCAGTTTTCTAACGTACCCGTGATTCCTTCCCCAACCATCATGGGTGTGTTTGGCATAGATCTAATTATCCTTGGTGAGGTCACGATTGCTAAGAGTTTCTAAAAGCCTTTCGCATAAGTTGCCATAAAAATTGAAACGTTGTATGAGCATCTACTTTACTTACAAAATACAAGACATCGAGAGATACTCCGGCGAGTACCGAAACAAAGAGCTTGCTCTCGAACTTTTCATCCGCTCTTCTCCCAACGGTCGCAAGTGCGTCGTCCAACATATGCGGCTTCACTGTCAGAAACACAATGTCGCAGTTGCACACGACCTCGTTGTTCTCCAACGTCGGGTGAACCCCTAAATCCCTCCAAAATCCATGAGTTCTATCAGTACGACCGGAAACCCAGACATTATCTGGCTTTAATACACCTTTCGCGGGAGAAAGAAAAAGAGATGCATCACTTGGAGTTTCTGTAAAATCTCGCTCTGGTCGGGCTTGTTGGCGAGCGACGAGCAAGTACGCTTACCTTTGCGAATTAAACCAGCGCCTATGGCACTAGCCATGTTCCCTCCTCCGATAAATCCAACCTTGATAGATTTTAGGTACTGTTCCGTCATAGCGGACTACGATTGATGTATCAGTCAATTGGCTCTCCTGGCTTCCTACTTTAATAGAAATATATTTAACAGTGTTTTCTTCTTTCTTATACTGTAGCACCCGTCTTCTAGCGAGAGCTAACCATATGGCCAATCATGCTCCACGTGAATTGAAGCCAACAGAACAGAGAGAGAGAGGGGGGGGGGAGGGGGAAAGAGAGAGAGAGAGAGAGATGATGACGATTTAATATTTATTCCTATCAATTCCTAAGGGCCAGTTTCACAAACGTCGGTTAACTGCTAACCAAAGGTTAACTGATCCTCTGTCTCTTCTTAGGGTCAGTTTCACAAACGTCGTTTAACCGCTAACCCATGGTTAATTGATCCTCTGTCTCTTCTTGGATAACAAGATAGAGAAAGATAGGAAGTCGACTGAACTCTGGTTAACAGTTAACCGACGTTTGTGAAACTGGACCTTACCCCTGGTCCACAATCTTGCTTTAAGTGAGCTGTAAGCCTTAAGCCGTAAGAAATTAGCCAATCACAGACATTTATTCCCCTCACTCTCACCTGCGATTGGTTAATTTCTTACGGCTTAAGGCTTACAGCTTACTTAAAGCAAGATTGTGGACCAGGGGTTAGAGAACAAGATAGAAAAAGATAGGGCGTTGACTGAACTCTGGTTAACAGTTAACCAACGTTTGTGAAACTGGCCCTAAGTCCCAGTCTACAATAGATGATTTAAGCCCTAAGCTTTAAGAAATTGGCCAATCACGGTCAAGTATGAGTAGAATGCGCGACTGTGATTAGTCAATTTCTTAAGGCTTAGGGCTTAAATCTCTATTGTAGACTGGGACTAATATTTTCTCTATTTTGCGCAGACCCTTATATTTAACACTGATTTCCGAAATTACATTTGCGCGTTCGTTTTTCTTTTTCTCTTCAAACGGATACTTTGGGCAGAGAACACACCACAGACTTCTATAGAAGTCTGTGGAACACACGGCCGGTCGCATTTGAAATATCCTGTACGCGCGCCTGTTTTGTACAATGGCCGTCACGCATGCGCGGTGGCGTATATGTGTACCGTAGATTATATACGTCTATCTCTATGGTGTGTACACGACATGTATACATGCATACGTGCTCCAATACTCCGATTATACGGGATTGAATGACGCGATGAATGACAGAAGTCCACCGGAACGCGATTAGGACTGCGGGAAGCATGGGAGCGCGATTCTCTTTCTCGCTGCCCGCGATGGGTAATTGTATCAGGAACATGCTGAGGAGGCTGCGAAGAAGCCGCACCGCGGAGAAGTACGCGCTATTCGCGAGCAAAGAAACGCGTGTCGGGAATATGAAGGCGGGAGAGAGATAACGTCCTCTTGTTTACATTGGTTTTTCGTTATTTCAGGACCATCATTTTGCTCATTGTGGGACTGGATAACTCCGGGAAGTCAACGATACTGAATCACATCAGCGGTGGTAATTGTTTTTTAAGAATTAAAACCAGTGCCTGCTGGCAAATATTATCGCTGTACGGCATCAATTTGCGCCAACAATATTCCTCTTCTGCAGATTCAGATCAGAATGTGCTGCCTACAATAGGATTCCGGACGGTGTCTCTAAAGCACAAGTCATATTCCGTCAAGATATACGATCTCGGGGGCAGCTCCCAGATTAGACCACTGTGGCCTAAATATTACAACGACGTAAGTGACTAGCGTGGATTTTCTGAGTGACTAAATGGATAATGATAGTCATGTTAAAAGAATTATTAATTAAATGTTACGATGAAAATATTAGATGGTCGGCCGCTACACTTGTGCCAAACAGAATCTTGAATTTCTATGTCTCCATTGACGTCTTTTAGATACATGGTCTTATATACGTGGTGGACGCTAGCGATATTTCCCGTCTTGCCGAGAATAAAGTCGTGTTTAACGAATTAATCACACACGAGCATATCTCGACGAAACCGATATTGTTGTAAGGGACCTCTGAAGTTACATCTCTGCACACTTTTTGCTTGCGCACGTACAGATTAGGTCACTTGTGTGCATATAATGATCAAAGGATGTTGATAATCTGCGTAAAAATGTGTCGCAACGGCACACAAATCTCATCCAGATTTTCGTAACGTATGCATAGACTCGCCAACAAACAAGATTTGAATGGCGCTATCGACGAGCTGGATGTGGTTGAAAACCTGGACGTGGAGCGCGCGGCCAACGCCATGAGATGTCCGACTAGAGTGGAAACGTGCTCCTGCATTTACAACAAGGAGCAACCCAAGAGTAGCATCGCGGGGATAAGGGAGGGATATAAGTATGTTTTGAATCAGTATTGAGAAGATTTAGATACGTGCACGAAATAAGGATTTAACGGCATACACTTTCATACTGATGATCAGAATTTTTCTCTTGCAGATGGTTGTTGGATATCGTAGTGAAAAATTATGCTATCTTGAACAGCAGAGTCAAACAATCACAGAATTGTCAACATAAAAGTGTGCAACGGACACAATCTGTTGCGTCAAATACACCATCGAAAGTGTCTGTACATTCTAATCCCTTTAAACCCATTAAGGATCTTTTAGCGGCAAAGGTACACGATATTATAATTATATAGTATTGGGAAAAAATGGGACCCCCCCCCCTATTATTTCCAGACGAACACCCTGTATAGAGTCACTTTATGTTTGTTATCTCAGAAGTGTGATATTAAATCTAGTACAAATGTTTTATTATCCGTCGTTGATATTTTCTTTTAAAATTTTAGGATGAAGCTTTAATAAGCGAATCGTGCAATGGTACGTACGTGTGTTAATATTATCGAGAACATTGATAGCAGCAAATTCGCTTTGGTGAAACACATACTCCCTCCGTAGCACCAACTTTCGGTTGGCAACAGTCGGGAGTAAAAACACATATATAATAAATTAATATAAAATATGTTTATAGGTATCAGTGAAAAGAAGAACATTATAAAAGTTTTTGCAAAGAGAAACAAGACTGCCCCTCTTCCAACTGAGCCATCGATCATTGAACACGAAAGTTCTTCACAAGATCTTAATGTAGAAACTTTCGCTGGAGAGAAGAGTACACAAACTCTGACTACAATATTAGATCCATTGAATCTAAGTATTGATCATAATGAAAGTTATGCAAATAGCAAACTAATCCGTCCATATACAGCGCCAGAAAGATCGGAACGGTTATCAAATAATATGACGATAATCAACATTCCTGGTCAAGTGCCTCAGTAGCAGCATCTGTAATTTTTATATTTAAGTTCGAGGACCACATCTATGTATAATGGCTTCGTTCGCTATGAATGAAAAGTTGTAAATGCTGTAAAAAATGCAAGTTATATTAAGATAAAATGAGATTGTTATAGCTTTTAGATAAGTGATATCTTGAATATTGTTAGTTTTAGTATCAGCATTGCCTAGCTTTACATGTTTTAAATATCTTTTGTACGAAAATGCTTTATACCATTGATTTTCTTTTTTAAACTCTGACAAAACGCGAAAGTAACTTTATAAAGATTAATAATATATGTATGTAATATAATAAATGGACTCAACTAAATATATCTATAAAGAAAAATATCCAATATTCTTGCCATGTGACTAATATATTAAAATAATTATAATGCTTATAACATTTATACATTATATCTTATCAATTTATTGTGTAAATTTGTATACAAGTTCGTGTATAGAAAGATATTACAAATATATACGATACAAAGCACACAAAATAGCACTAAAGCTATATATATATAAAGATACTGTAAAATTGCTTCAATACTCCGGTAACATTGATTCTGAAAAATGCAATTTCCAAACGGATTCATGTGTCATACGTAGTGGCTATTTTTAGCACACACTTATCACAACGCACAATGCAAGACATTGTGTCATCTTATATTTTGCAATGACATCTTGTATCTTTGAGCAATTGCTTTATAGTTTATAACATCATTTAGATAAGATGTTCATATTGCAAAATACATTTGTGTGGTAAACTGCATATATATCTTACTATACGAGGAACAATAAGTGAGAACACGATTCGCAGAGACTACTGTTGAATATAAAAAATGTCTAAATATATGTCATGCGGTCATGCGTACGCTAGTACACAGTAGTCTTACATAGTTTAACCATAGTTATCAAACAATTGTGTATAAGGCATATAAATTCCATTACTCTCACTATGAAAGACTTTGTATCACGTTTCGCAAATTTCGTTTCTGTTTCTCTTGCGAATACAGCAATCACCGCCGTAACACTAATTGATCCGTTCCTCTTAAATTCTTATCTAATTAATTATGCTCATTAATCTAGCGACACAATGCATACCCGATGATCTCGGTATCTGCAGGCAAGGTAATGCATCTTAACAGTTTAACTACAATGCGACTCCTCTCATATACTCCTTTTCTTCTTAACATTTTTGTAACATTCCAATATTCATTGCAGTTGCAATTCATTACAACTACGTTATCTCAAATCATAATTATGCCTTGTAAAATTAAATGTTAAACATTGTTTTGTATGCCAAGCTATTACTTCTTGCATAGAATATACACACGTTACTTTTACCAGCTGAATTGCGATATTCACTGCTAGCATTGAAAATCTATAGGTCACGTACACTATAGATTGTGTGCGCATGTGTGTGGAGCATTCAAGTGTTACAAACTATTATCCGTGAAAGGACGTATCAAAGTAAAAAATGTTTTAGATAAAAATTGTATGGTCTCGATGAGGATAAATAGCGATAAAATTAGTTTTTGAAAATTGATTTTACCATTCAGATCATATCACTTTTATTTAAAACTTATTTTGCCATTATGCGTATTTTCAGAGATGATAGCTGGTAACATTTTAAATGCTTTATCTCATACACACACGCGCGCACACATAATCGTAAAGATTAGGACAGTCACATCATACATATTACTTATGCAACACACACACACACACACACTCGTTCCTTGATTAACGTGGAGTATCCGTTCTACATGGTTTCTTTTACGGTTAAGAATTATCAAAGGGGTCACTTCAATCTTCTATCGCTTCAAAACAAATACATAAAAGCTTGTGTGTGCTGTAAAAATATTTATTTCACATGTTTGCACAATAATAATAATAAAAGTTTAGAAAACAAAATTTATTAGTCAACCTTTTCTCTTTAACTGATTTGAAGCTACTATTCTTGTGTTATTACAAATATTTGGCACTTCTACTTCAGTTTCATTATCCATATATTTCTTTTAAAAATATTTTTCTGACCATGTATAAAAAGTATCGCGTATACAGGGGTGGGATTATTTACCATGTAAAAAAATACCGCGTAAATCAAGAGACAAGTGTATGTGAGTATACGAGCTATGAGTGTGTATGTATATGTATATATACATATACACACACATGCGATTTACAATATATAATTAAAAAATATTCCGTTTGTATGTGTGTAACATCAATGCTACTGTAATAGGATACGTATGAGTAGCTAATCCTTTTTCATATATGTATATTTTAAATATATATATGAATTATTGATGAAAAATATGGTTAAGATTATAGTATATAATGTATATTTTTGCAGTCGATAACTCTTTATTTGTACTTATTATATACCTTAATTGTATGAAACGGCAATGTCACAAGCACGATAGTTGCTTCTGAAGTTCCCTTTAAATAAATTTGTTCAGATGTTTTGAGGCTTATCGTAAATAATTATTAACTAAAAATGTTACAAAAAATGGAAATGCTATTTTTATCACAACACAAGATAATGTTTTTGTCATATAGGAGGATATGAATGAAAACAAAAATGTTAAAAGTTTCTGGCAGTTCAATGATCTGTTTCCTCAATAGAGACGGCAGGAACAATAATGTGAGCAAAAAAAAAAGAAAGAAAAGTATACCTGTATAAAAACTTTTTAAACCAAAGAAAGAATTATCTCATATTACTACAGTTAATTTAGATACTTTTACTAGAACACGAACAGTTTAGAAAATTATCTTAAACTGATATTAAGTATATATAAAATGCTAAGTCTTTAGCATGTAATAGGCGACAATCATATTGCCGAATTGTGGCGCATGAATAAAAGTGATACCTGCACCACTCGCAGTCTTGCCCATTTGCGCTAAACGATATGACCCAATGTATGCCGCAAATAGGTACATAAATGCGATGTAATTAATTTCTTTACTCTACAGGCTATACAATTCCATTCCTGGATGTAAATTTTACCAAGCGCGTCAGCATAGTGGTGATGCATGGGATTTGCTTCTGCTGATGCATGGTCATGTTGTCGGGCGTATTTGACTCAAAGTCCAGGGCAACGCGTTGGCATACAAATGTCAGCAGAGTCAGTAAATCGTAACGAGTGCCGTTATCGCGTAACTCCATGCACAATGCTTGCATAAACCACGATCCGCGGCTGGTGTTCCTCCAGGAAAAATAACCTTCCAATTTTAAAAAATCACTATTTAAACACTAACATCCTTTCATGGCTCGTCCTTATTTCTTCGAATTTGTGTTTGTCACACAACCTTATGAACTTTATTAATTTTGTAAAAATCACTTTTGAGCAGCAAAGCATTTAAGTCGGACAATTTGCCTCCCTTTTGAAATATTAACGTTCTATAGAAACTTAACATTCAGATAGCTTAAATAACAATACCTGGAATGGTCGAGTAAGCAATGAGAAAGTCCGCTTGAGTGGGAATGCGGAATGTTGGGACAAGCCCATCCGTTTCGGTACGTTCTTTAAGAGGAATGCCGGGATCTAGCTTATCACCCTGGCAAGCTTGTATAAAGAACAACTTGGGTTTGCCAGCGAGACTCAGACACTTATCGGCAGTGAAGTAGTACCACAGGTTATCTGCTTTGTACGCAGCGTCATGAGCGTAGAGCAATCCAAGTTCACCGTGACTTAGCACAGCTATCACCAGGCAATCGTGTTCGGAATGATCCATTTCCGAAGCTGTGAAAAGTAACAATTTGCTTGTTATTACACACATTTCTGTTGTGTCTCACGTGATATTTTTATGCAAAATGTCTTACACCTTTACACTTTACGACACATGTCTCTTAAATACAAAAAGTTTCTTAAAGAAATGACGAATGTACGTGCAAACAGTAGCGCAGCTTACCTCTTTCCAATTGTTTTACCACATCCTTGTGGGTCAAATTGTGAAAGTCGTTTACCTCAAAACCAAGATTTTTCAGAGTCTTGATTAAATTTTCACAATCGACATTTGTACCGCAGCGAGGCTTAAGATGTGGGACGGTGAAAAATTCATGATTGAAGATGAGAGCTATGCCACGCTTGGAATGATTCATGTTATAGTATGTGGCATAACGCTGGGTAGGTGCCAACTGTGTCAATTGTGCTACAAGGGGAGCAGACACTGTGCTGCTCCTGCAAAAAAAATTTTGTCCTGTCGTTCCCCATGTTCCAACTCAAATCTTTTTATATTGGATTCAGGGGCCATAGATATGTTCCCTGGTACATGCTTATTCGTTACACATTCACATTCTGCATTCAATGTGATTATGACTCTTGAATCTTATATCCCGCGCCCTTCATACTTTTAATACAGCTCACACAAAAGAAGAAAGGGACAATAGAAGATATAGGAGACAGAGAATGAGGCGGAAATTCATAGGAAGGGGGGTAATATAAAGAAGAAAGCGAGGAGGCACTAAGTAATTAGAAAGGTATACTGAGAAACAAAAACGAAGGGGGAAGATATTTTCACCTTTTTCGAGGGATAGAGAATACAAAGCAAAGAAAAGGGATGAATATAATGTAGTATAGGAAGCAGAGGGGGGGGGGGAAGAAGTCGACAGGACGAGAATAATCAGAAAGGAAGAACAGAGAGGCATAAGGAATTAGAAGGCTGGATGGCGAAACGGGAATAACTGAGAAATTATTGTACCGCCAGTTTCAATGGCCACGTTCAGCAGACACAATTGTTGAGTGAGCGCTCAATGATTTCTTAATATGATTGGCTGGATCTAAAAGTATCAACCAGTCATACTGAGCGCTCACTCAACAGTTGTGTCTGCTGAACGCGGCCATTGGCTGGATCAAAAAGTATGAACCAATCATACTGAGCGCTCACTCAACAGTTGTGTCTCCTGAACGCGGCCATAGAGACAGAGAATAGAAAGAAAATCAGAAAGGGATGCGAAGGAAGAAGAGATCACATAGCCTTCATTACTAGTAATGGGAGAGAAAAAGGAAAGAATATAATAGATTTGAAGAAAAGGTGCTGGCGTAGAAGCGGATAAGAAAAAAGACAAGAGGCGAATAGGAAACAGTAACCAAAAAATAGAGGTAGAGTGAAAAGATTGATAAAATGAATATGTTGATGAGGAAAGTAACAACATGGCAGGACACAGAGCAGATGGAAACAAAAGAAAGGACAGATCTAGGGCTATCTCTTTCCTCTGGTAAAGTAAGCCGAAGTGGAAAGAAAAAGGTTGGTAAGGAGGAAAGAAATAACAGAAAATATCCAGAGAAAAGGATTACGAAGAAGAAATGCGGAAGAAAAACCATAGCAACTTTTACGAAAAGGTGCAGGATGAGACCTGAAGGAAGAAGAGACGGAGATAGAGGAAATAAATAAGATTAGGACACGCCGGAAATAGAGATATAAGAAGCATTGTTAGGTACAGTTAGTTGCACGTAGGACAGAAGGCAAGGAAGATACGAGTGTGTCGATTGTAAACCAAGTCCCACTTCGTGGCTGTAAGCTGAAGTATAATAAAATGATCGATAACATGACTCGCTTTTAATCTAAACCGGGAATTGCATATGATTCACGAATCGATGAAAGTTGACCCGTCCAATGTGGACGGTTCAACAGCTTGCTTCAAGCGGTTCGCTGAACGATTGTTGCGTATCAGCTTGCTCCGTTTTTCGCGTACGATAAAGGTAATCCGCTCTAATACCTTCCTTTGTTACGATATTAATGTCGAGTACAATGATTAGAAACGGATACTCCGTCGTGGTTAACGATTGTAAAATTTTGAAATACAAACGTATACGGACACTTGCGACGAGGTCACAATTGCGTGGCATTCACTTTGTGTGATAACGCGAATGTGTGCGCTTGCCTAAAGGACGCGAGGTCTAGCTTGTATGTACCTGCCAAACGATCCGAATGCATCGCCGACGTCGTCGAGCTGCGTGCCGTTGTTCATGCTGCTGTTACTGTCGGTGGAGCACATGGCGTTGAATCTGGCGTAACAGGCCCACAGACGACGGGAAAGAGTCTACCTTTCACTGCGCAATTTCTGCAATTGCCTTGTCTAAACAGAATGCGCAGCGTGGCCTGCGTGGTTAGCACTTTAATAACACTGAATAACACTGAAGTATGCAATGTCTAGAGTGAGAGTCCACTAGATTATTATTATTATTATTAAGTTTCTGGCTCCTGGCTCCATCTGGATCATTCGTAAGCACTATATGCAGACGAGGCTTAAGGCCCGAACACAATGCCAGGCAACAGCCAATAGGAACTGGGAATAGAATTTCCGACGCGTTGGATTGGTTGGAAGAAAATTTCCGACGAATCCAACGCGTCAAAATTTCTATTCTCTATTCCTATTGCCTGTTGCCTGGTATTGTGTGATAGGCTTTACTCTCCGTTTTTGATAATATACTATACATATATTTTCTTCAATATCGATTTATATTGAAACCCGTTTAAATTTTGATGCCTCATGAATCACTCCAGTATTTGAAACAAGCGATCTGAATACCTTTATTCTCTCTCTCTCTCTCTCTCTCTCTCTCTCTCTCTCTCTCTCTCTCCTCTCTCTGCATCTACGTAAGTGCAAGACATGCGTGCTTTAGGTGAAGGATAAACGGAGGTTAACCTAACAAAAGTGTGTTTACCAGTGCTTACGGTTTTGCGGAAGAGACTGAAAGAGTAATCTACTAAAGGATACTTATTAATTAGACGGTGCTTATTTCGGAAAGATAAAAACTAGAAATAATGGATACGCAAATAGATTTGTACGGGCTGCTTGGTGTAGAGCCGACAGCTTCTATGCCGGAGGTAACGTATACACCTTTAAATCTGTTTCTTCGGTAATTGCGTTTACTTGCGTAAAAATATGTACACCTCTGCCTCGCAATGGGCGAAATACCACCGGATAGTCGTGAGAAAACGCCTGACGATACTCGTGTTTTCAGATTAAAAGGGCATACCGCAAGAAAGCCTTGACGTGCCATCCCGACAAGAATCCTGACAACCCGCGAGCGGCGGAATTATTTCAAGAACTCTCGAGGGTGCTGGAAATATTAACGGACACAAAAGCCAGGGTGAGTATATCGGCATCTTTCATCGGGGTTGATTTCAACACTGTCGTCATTAAACCCTTCTCTTCTCAGACCCGCGAGAAGAGAAAGTCTTGTAGCCGGTCTAATTTATTAAAACTGTATTGTGAAACAAGGCAGACTACGATCAAGCTATTGCTGCCAGGAAGCAGGCGAAGGAGCGCATTAGACAATTCGACGCCAAGAGAAAGAAATTTAAGGAGGACCTGGAGGCGCGTGAAGAGGCTTACAGAAGGTCGGTCATTTCTGCGGCCGAGACTGAAAAGTCCAACGAGGAGCAGAGAAAGGTATGCACCCTTAATTTTGCCGTAACACTTTCGATTGTTCAGACATGTAAGAGACACAATTATTCAGGCGGAAGTGAAAAGATTACAAGAATGGTACAAACAAATGGAAGAAGAGATGATCTTCACGCGAAAGCTGTTTTTGGAGAAGCTTTATAGCTCGATGAACACTACGACACCCAATGTGAGAGAGTTTCGAATTAGAATAAGATGGAAAGTACAAGACGGCGATCAGACGAATGGTGGATACAATTATGACAATCTGCATACCATGTTTTCCAAGGTACTGTCATAATCTTCCAATTCTATTTTCTGTTTTCAAGCTCTCAGATATTTTTAACTATTGCTTTTTCCGCAGTATGGGGACATAGAGGCTCTTGTTGTGTCGTCTACGAAGAAAGGCAGTGCCATGATTGAGTTCGGAGATAAAGGCGCGGCGGTAAGTCCACAGGATGTTTGACAATGAAACAATAAGATTATGTACAAGAGCAGATTCTGAATAAAATGTTTGTTTCAGGAAACGGCGCTTCTAGCAGAAATCGGTTTGGTGAAAAACCCGTTAACGCTACGTGGTCTATGGGATAAACAGACACGTTCAGACATTAGTGCGACCAGTACAAATTCTAACATTGGAAGACCTACGTTTCCCGCAACCACACATTTGAACAGCACGCCATGCGCATCTCTCAGTTTTCCTTCCGCACCAGATATATTCGTATGTATTATTTGTAGCTCGTAAGATTGAACATTTTATTGCGGACGATAATATTGTAATATTTTCACGTTATATAGACGCAGCAGACAAGGGTGTCGGATGCAGAGTTCGAAAATTCCGTATTAGCTAATTTAAGAAGAGCAGAGGAGCGCAAACGGCTTATAGAGGAATTGAAAGAACAGGAAGAAACTTGATCTCTGTAAAGAAAGAGCTCCTTACCGCAGTAATTGTTGTTTCAGATGGATATTCTATTACGATACTCGTCATCCTTTGGTGCAAAGTGTACTCCAGTTTTGGACGTTCTTAAAATAGCTTAGGAGATATACAGTTTAGCTTATTTTTGAATTAAAAAGAGAAATAAAACTTTTATCTAAAGCAATAAAGATATGAAAATTCATCACTTTTGAAATTGATTATTATTACATCAAGATAATTATTTTTTTGTCGCTGCTTCAATTGTTTCTGTAAAACTATCATTTTACTGTTAATCAACCATACGCATACTTTCCTCCAAGTTGCTGTAATTGTGCTACGAGGCACGTTAGTACGATTGTACTTATTGGAACGCTTTCGAATCAAATACAAGTCATGCAATAAAGTATATTCAAAAATTCTTTCGCGCAAAATCTATATGTTTGAGCAATGAATCTAAAAACATGGTCTTTTGTATTTGTGCAAGTTGAAACATTTTATTTATGCAACTTTGAAACATTAAATCAATCGTAACACATTTCCTTGAATTCCGATCATACAAAGTATATTGTTTTTTATCGATATAAATATTTTATATTCTCTATTCGTAGATACCAGTAGCGCGATAGTGTAACTCGTTATGTCGTCGTTGCGTGCTTTGCACAGATCTAATATACCGTAGAAAAGCTGCGCAAAGCCCGTAACGACGACACGAGTTACAGAATCGCGCTACAGGTGCTCTACTCTGTTACCGAGAACCATCTTAACGATATCGGTATCAATGTGTCCATTTCTTGTAAATTATGTCTGATGGAAGTAATGGGTATTAACCTTATGCAGATTTGTACTCTATACGTATGATATACAACATACAACGCAACCACTGGTAGATACAATTGCTGAGTTTAGAAACAGTCTTCAGCAAAGTCTTATGAAAAAACTAAGATCGTAATGTAAAAAGTAAATTAAAATTTGTAATTAATTTTTCTTGCAAATTAAAAAAATCAATGCTATTGGCGTAACTCGTCACTTAATGTAATTGTACATCTTTAGTTTCACAATGTTGTTCATGACGATACTTAACTAATAAACAAGCTGCGTTTATCGTTGTTGTCACAAAGTCAAAGTGATCCACTAAAAATCGATTGTACAATTAGATGTAAAAATTCTAATGACACATGTTCTGGTTTAACTTAAAAACGATGCGTGAAGCTACTTTGCAATTTTTTTAGCGAACCAGTAGCGGCATTTTCGGCCTGGTTAACTCGGATGCAGTATTTTAGTGTTGCGCCGATCAATAACGTGGTCCAATTGGATCCTATCGTGGTGAAAATTTTCCTTAGAATGTTTATACGAATTGGTACACTTTTCAGAAATACCCAGAAAGCCCACTTCTTTTCTTAGTTTCTCATATATGAGAATATTCTATGATATAAATGTTGAAATGATAAAATGAGAATTTCAGAATATTTCAGAATTTATGCATATGAAAAGATATAAACTTTCTCGATACTTCTGAAGTGTGATTTGTGTAAAAAAAATCTGAAAATTATTGCAACGAATTATGAAAGTATTGAATCATCTTCAAACTTTTGAAGACAATTTTCAGCGAACTTTCTGACCGCTTCTTTTTTAGCAAGTCGCAGTACTGCCAATGAAGGTATTATTGGTGCGTCAGTCTCTTCAAGATTTAAAGTTTCATTTGCCATTCTTTGCTGTAAACTTGAACATCCTTCTGTGATTGCTGCTTTACCTGCCTCTTTTCGTTTTTGTCCATTTAAAGGACGCCGCAAAACTTCATGGGGTCTACCCCTGGTATCGCAGGTTTTGACATGTATACGAAGCGGACTATTACTGTCCGGTGGTTTTACATAAACAACCCCTTTGAAGAAATTACCGCATAGTTTACTTTTACAATTTCCAATAATCTTGATGTAATATCTGCTTTCAGGTTGAAAAATTAGGCTTCTAACAAAAGTATATGCGCAGGGCAGACGAAATTGTCGATAAAATGCATCAGCAACGACGTTAGTCCATACCCATGGTCTTAACGAGTACTGGTTCGCAGTTTGAAGTGGTTTAATTTGTTCCCACTCATTTGCGCTTAATATTAAATTAAACCGAGAATAACCCTTTTTACAAATTGTTTTACGAGTAGAACGAGATGACGAATTATTAGAATTAACCGATTCTGTTTTAATATCTTCAGTGGGAATCAAGATATTCGTTGATAGATCTGGCACCAGTGGCTTAAGACCCATTTCTTCTCTTGCGAGGGAATATATTTTTCGTCTGTCATATTGAACATTAACCCACCAGTTATGGCCACTCCATGCATTGTTGCATCTGTTACTCATTTCATCCCAAACGGGGTTCGAGTAATTAGGTATTTCATCAGTCATTAAATCGAAGAACTCGATAAGAATAGCCACCGCAGCGTCAATAGTCAGTTTATTTTTTCTTGGCATTTTTATCAGATCAGATGTACAACAATGTATATTCTGTAACAGAAAATTGTTAAAAGTAATATAAAATATTGTGTAATATAATCAAAGCTGACGGAATAATAATAAAATCTACTTACAGTATAAAAGTTATACGTAAAAGCCACAAACTTCCATATACTGCTGGACTGCTACCTTCGACTTCGAGCCAACTTCGAGCCAACTTCGAGCCAACTTCGAGCCAACTTCGAGTCGACTTCGAGCCGAAAAGTGAAGCAAGGGTTCCACCATAGTATGCCCCCTCCGTCATTTGTTTCGTTTTGCGTCGATCCTTTCTGCGCATCCGACATTGTTCTGGGCAGACCAATGAGAGACAAGTTGTATGTGAGATAGTGTGGCTTTGATGAATATACGTAAGGCTGGATTCACATGGAGCGTAGCTTGCGTAGCGTAATCTGCGTATCACCAATCATAGGGTCATTCTGATAGAACCGTTTCAATGCCTGTGTCCAGCAGAAGTTAGCGCTTGCTAAGCGCTTTGCGTTCATTGGATTATACTTTCAGATCTGTGCTGAAATAGAGCTATTCTTCTAGATCTATCCAATCAGCATAAAGCGCTTATTAAGCGCTAACTTCTGGAGAACACAGCCAATAATTCCATTGAAATAGTTCTGTGATTGGTGATACGCAGGTTACGCTTACGTAAGTTACGCTCCATGTGAATCCAGCCTAAGGTCTGTTCGCGTCGCATCCTCCCGTTTGCCCCAACGACCAATACCGTCATTTTATTTACGATTTAAGCGACGGTATTGGTCGTTGGGGCATGCGATACGAACAGAGTCAAAATGGAGCTCTATATTGGATGTGTTCGAAAATGGATTTAGTTACTGCCAGTGAAAACAGTATAGTTGGTAGCAATGAAAATTACTGGTGCTGCGTTTTTCGCACGCCAGTAAAGTCAGTATGGCTGGGAAATTGACCAATCACAGTTCATTATTCGACTTACGACATCCAATGTAGACCCAGCCTTACTGACTTTACTGGCGTGCGAAAAACGCAGCACCAGTAATTTTCATTGCTACCAACTATACTGTTTTCACTGGCAGTAACTAAATCCATTTTCGAACACATCC